CAGGACAGCTTTGCCCTTGATTGGGGCTGGCACCACACGGGCACAGCCGCAAGGTAACGAGCCCCAGTGCAACACCGATAGCTGAAGGAAGCTGCCGCCTGCTTCAGCTGCAAGACTTAAAAGATCAACCTTCAGCCTCCTCTATGCTCACCCAGGCCGCGCTCCGCCCCCATCTTCAGCCTCAAATACCTGACAAAAAAACCATCCAAACCATTTCTGCAGGGAACAAATTCACCCACCATGTATCAGTCACACACCAAACCGCTCCCGACACCGAGTTGATCTGAAAATTGCCATAATTCAAAGTCCCTGAAACAGGACCTATGTTTAGGATTGCACGAGCAGCTTCCAGGGGAAGGATGCTGGCAGCACCGGGTAGACACACACGGATCTGCAACCTCTGTGTGCCCCGCGGTGCTGGACCCCTCCAGGCCCTCTCCTACCTCTGGTCAGAGGGATAAGCAAGCTGGTACCCTCAAAAAACCTTCCCTCCCTGGCCTGCACAGGGAGCTGGTGCGTTTGGCTCAAGGATTCAGTCTCACAGAGGCAGAGCTGGGCTCGGGGAGGAGGCAGAGCCCCATCGTCCGAGCGGCCCCCGGCTCTGCTGGAGGGGCTGAGCCCCCGGCTCGAGCCCTCCCTGCAGCGGCCGGTTTCGAGCCACGCTCCTCTGCGGCTGCAGAGGGAAAAGGTGGGAGAGATTTAATGCTCGCACGTTACAGCTCTGAGCTGCAAAGACCAAGAAAAAAACCTGAGTAAAACAGGCCCAAGCTGCTTCGGGGAGAAGAGCCAGCAGAGAGCTGTCCCCCAAGGACCGGGCATTGCGTCCCGAGGACCGAGCGCAGCACCCGCCAGTTGTGTCCAACACCTTTTGTGCTCGCGAATGTTCGCGGAGTCTGCAAGGAGTGACAAATAAAACGGTCACGGACTTTGTGACCGGGGTAAGTCAGCTGCAAGCAATAGCACCTTCCCCACCTCTCCTTCCTAGCTCGAGAAACTGGTTTAATACTTGCGATTTTGCAAAGAGGGCACTAAATGCACTTCAGAAATGCTTTTTATCTTCAAGGTTTTGCTTTTATTACTGCTGGAAACCAGGATGAATCAAAGCAGCTATTTCACAGCTAAGGACAAGGAGCGAAGACACCACTTCACTCAATGGAAAACGAAGGAAAAAGCTCGGGAGGGCAGAAGAGCTGAACCCTGGCAGTGCAGAGCGGTGAACACACACCTTAACCCTCTCACAACAGGTCACGGGTATTTAATGACGTCCAAGACCCAGGCTCTGTTTCACCTGGAAGGGGGAAGCCAAAATTATAGCAGCAGAGAGAACCAGCGATCAGCTCTGCGCTGAGCACCCTCCAAGGGCAGAGCCTGTCTCCATTTCAGTGGGTCTTCTACAACATCCCGGTCCCCAGCACGGCGAGGGAACAAGGGGTTTCCGTGAAATGGATCCTGCAGGGATCTGGTGGCTCTTCCAACAGCATGTGGACAACTGCTTGGCAAGGAGATGTCCCTCAGGGTCCCCAGCTGGGACTGGGCTGAACCTGTGTTGTGGAAGTTTGCTCGTCCAGGTGGTTGTCCGCCAGGTCACCCGTTGCTCCTGCACGTCAGGCGCCGGAGCACCGCTCCTCCCCATGGCTGTCGGCTCAGCAACGCGGACCCGGGCGGGCAACCTCGGCGCCGACGCGTGGTGACCACCAGCGTTGCCAGACATCCCAGTGCTAGAAACCTGGGAGCGTGCTAGAAAGGCTGCTGGTTTTGACAGACAGCAAGTCGTTTTTAATCACACATCAATTTGGAAGGAGAGAAAACAAGGGATTTTGGAAAAATAATTCCAATTCATCACCCCTAGGTTTCCTCATGCAGCCTCCGCACGACACCCCGCTGCCCGAGAGCTACCAGGGCTGCTGAAAAGGGTCCCCGCACCGTGACCCCCGGCAGCGGCAGGAGGTTCCGATGAAAGGGGAAATTCCCATGAGGGCAGCACACACGGCCAGGCAGGAGACGGCGCAGACAAAGAGCGACACTGTTCCTAGAGAGCCGGGCAAGGGGCCGGCTCCAGCACAGCCAAGCCGTTGGCAGGTCACCCAGATCCGCACCGCCACGGATTGTCTGGGGCACACGGTTTCCTACCAGGATTTGGGGGGATTAGTCCATGGGATGGGCACTGGTGTCTGGCCATACCCACCGGGGTTCCCCCCAGCTGCATTGTACTTGGTCCTATAAGACCCGCAGAGCTTGAAAAGGAGTTTCCAGCCTTGCCAAATCCTTCATTTTAAAGTTTCTCGTGAGAAAGGCACAGGAATTGAAATAACGGTGTCAGAGGACAACACACACTCGCATGTTTAGACACCCCAAACTCTTTAGGTGTCCCAACGTGTATTTTTAGCTTTAAGTCAGCCAGAAAAAAAAAAAGCAGCTTTTCAGGAACCACATGGCTGAGCTGGTATTGCCAGACAGGACACAGCCGCCAACAGGGAGTTTTAGGATATTATTAGGAAGTGGAGACAAGTGCAGGCAGGGGGTGTGAACGCCTGTTCCTGGTCCACTGCCCCATCGCTCCTCCTGCCAACAAGGCAACAGCGCTAAGAAAAGAAACCTGCACACCAGACCTCCCATCTCTGGCAGTATGAAATTATTCAGCTGAAGATGCAACCCCCCCCCAGCAGTGTGTATTATCAAGAGGGACACCGATTCTTTTGGACAAGGCAGAAGGGTTCAGCACCGAGCAGGTAAACTTCCATTTACCCTAACGGCACCTTGGTCTCAAACGACCCTACTGCAGTTTTGGAGTGGACACTGAGCCACTTGAGAAGAGCTACAGTTTGAAGCCCTGTCCTAAACTTGCCTTCAAGCTTACTGCATTCATATTATAAAGCTGTGAACAGGAATGACTTTGCGCTCTCTAACCACACACCGCTCCACGCCCCAGCAGCCCGAGTGACCCCAGCCCTTTGGTACTTGCTCCCACCCCTCACTAGGGCCAGCTGCAGGGGACCTGAACATCCATACGTCAAAAGTGTGGTCCCAAACTGCATCTAGACCTCCACTCAACTTCGCTTTTAATTATAGAATCGTAGAATCATTAAGGTTGGAAAAGACCTCTAAGGTCGGAAAAGACCTCTAAGATCATCGAGTCCAACCGTCGACCCAACACCCCCATGCCCACTAAACCATGTCCCTCAGCGCCTCATCTACCCGTCTTTTAAATACCTCCAGGGGTGGGGACTCAAGCAGTCACTAACGACGAGGGTTGAGGGAAGCTGAATTACTGTCAAGACAACAGCCCGGTCTCAGCCATCTTCTGCGACTGCAAAGCTTTAAAGGCCCATAAATAGAAAAAAACTGCTCAAGAATTGACACTATGATCTACCAAATTCTTTGCGTTCCTTAGGGAAAAGGTCTTCAAGATGAGAGGAGGAAAAGCGACAATTGCCCACCGTGCCGCAGGATGAGAAGGGTGCAACCGCACAAGCCTTGCTGAAGACACTTGGAGCGCAAAGGCACAAAGAGGTCCTTCCCCTTCTCACCTGGCCCTAAGCAGAAGCACTGAGGAGCCCACCAAGGGAGCATTCAGCAGAAGATCCCAGCCCTAGGGACCTCCCACGCCAGCGAAAGAATCCCCAACTTGGGGGATGGGGCTTTTGTGGGGTGTCCTGGACCTGGGGGCACATCTCCACCCCTGTGCTTTTCCTTCTTCAGCTTCAGGGTATTAGGGACTGTGGGCATTACACACCTAGGATGCCCCGGAAGAACTGCCATTAATACACTTCTTCAGAGGAAAAAGCTCTTACTTGGTGAAGTAGCAGGAGCATTTAGAATATAATCCAGATTGGATTCCCGGTTTCAGTTTAATCAAAAAGGCAAACCATCCTGGCAGCCGCTGGAGCCCCGCAGGAGAGGACGAAAGATCTGAACAGGCATCCGAATTAAACAATTAACAGCGAAGCTGGTACGGGAATAGAGGAGCGGTGGGACCCTGCTAGGTCAGCGTACCCAGTCCTCTTCTATTAAAATCTGCCACTTCAGAGCACTTCTTTCAAGTGTGTGATTCAACCGGGAACGCGAGCCTGAGCAATCGTCCAAATTAGCGCAGCGAGACAGTGGGAAAGCAGGAATCAAACAGAAATAATCCTATTAGGCCTCGAACGCTGTTTTACTTTGTCCACATTCATTAAGCTTTTTAAACCTGAAATACCATTTTCCAAAGCGGCCGATCACCGAGCGCATTGTGAAGGGCCTTCGCTTACCTGCGTTACTTTGGTGTCTCCGTCTCCCACCTTGCCGGGTAACAAGCTCAAGCTTTGTATTTACTCCATTGTAGTTAAGATGCAGCCCCAAAAATAGATCCGTATCCTACTAACAGTTCTCAGCTCATCCACAACACACAGGGAGGGAAAAGGAGACTCCAGACAAAGTGGCACAAGCTTTGTACAAAAACCACTCTTTTTTTTTTATTTCACAAAATTGGGTGGCTGTGTTGCAGGAATAAAACCGGCCCTATACATAGGATCAGGTGAAAAAGTCAGCACATGTATTATTTATA